TGAGACATCAGGCAATGTCTGTTTCCACCAATGTAGAGAAATTGACAATGTTTTATTAAATGGTAATTTATATTACAGAGGCCAGGAACAGATGTTGCATTTGTCCCAGAATAGAACAGCTCCAGGATTGCTGTATAAACACATCAGCCTTCTAATCAGTGAGCAGCTGAATTAATTGCTGCTTTCTGTTCGGTCTGCAGAGACAATTTTGCAATCCCAGAAAAACTGTTCAGACACACTTCACAAAGTCCTGGGACAAACCTGCCTCTCTTCTCACCCTTGGCCCTTTTCACTCAGTCCACTGGTTGTTCTCAACACGAGAAAAAACAAAAAAAGGAAAACAGGCCCCTATTGGGTGAGCTCTACTAGTTTTCAACAGAATGCTCAACCCTGCCTGGTTACCAGAACTGCCTTTAATCAAGTTCTTAGTTCCTCAAATGCACTTACTCTTTCTGTGTCAGGGACCAGGGCATAGGCAGTCTTGCCTAATGGTTAGGCCACTGAAGGAAAGCAGGGCCTGGGGCTGGGTCAAAGGGCAGGAGCCATATATCAAAGCCAGAGGAGGAGCCAGAAGCAGTCCATGACAATCCAAGGTCAGGATCTGGGGATCAGATGCCAAGCACCAATCCAAAGGGGCAATCTACAGGGTGAAGTGCAATAAAATGGAGCCAAACCAGGGTCAGGAGCCAGGAAACAACTGCAGAGAAGTCCAACACCAAAGTCCAAAAATACAACAAAACTGAGGCCAGGAACCAGAACTAGAGTTTAGGAATCAGGAGGCTTGCCACAGTGCAACTGTTGACTGGCCTGCCAACCCAAGGCCCCAGCTGGTGCTAGATGGCTAGTTGGTGCTCCCAGCAACCACTCAGGATGCTTGCTGATCCTAAACTGGGACAGAATTCATTAGCTGAGGCTTGGTGCAGGTGTGGCTGCTGTGGTAGTTGGTTCAGGCTGGCCTGCTCAGAGTCCCTGACAGCACTGGGCCTAGGCTGATCAGTGCCCCTGACCTTCTGCAGGTAGCAGGTAGCAGCTCCTCATCCCAGGCAGAAGCTTTTCTTGCTGGGCTTACAGTTCCTCTTCTCCCATAGGAGGGCTTTGTAGTTCTCTGCCACCAGAACCCCTCTGCCTTGGAGGAGAAAGCCTATATCAGGGAGGACGAAATATAGCCTGCAGGAAGGATTCAGGCCACCAATTGATTGTAGCCAGCCCATGGCTGCCCTCATGGTACTCTGCATGGGACTGAGCCCCACCTGCTCCTGCCCAGGGCAGCCCATGCTGTGCTCCTGCCCACACCCTGGCCCTGGCCAGAGAGCACAGCTTCCCAGAGGGGCTGCTCCTGCTGCAACTGCCCAAGTACCACTCAGCTCTCCCAACCACCAGTGACTCCTCCTCCTCCTGCCCCTACTGCACCATTCTAGGAAGCTGGTAGCATGGAGAAGCGGCAATGGTCATAGGGGCACATGTCAGGCACCATGTGCCCAGCCAGGCAGGGAGGAAGCTGCAGCCAATTGGCCACCTTCCACCCACTCTGCCCACCCAGCGCAATGAGCAGCCACCTGTGTGTGCTGGGTTGGGTGATGCTATCACTGAGCACAGGGCAGGTGCAGGCAGGAGGGAAGTGCAGGCTGCCCTGGGCAGGAGTGGGTGCAGGCTCAGCCCTGTGTGCAGCCATGGGCCAAAGGGAGGCAGACCACACCTGCATGTGCACTACTCTGCTGCATGTAGCCTTTTGTCCCCACTTACTCCCAGCTGGGTCCTGGGACCTAGTGCAGCCCCCCGACACACATGCACATCCATCTTCCCACACCCCCAATACCCACCCACTCCACATACACATACCCCTATACACACACACACCCCACCCCACCCCACCCCACTGCACACACAATATATAAAAGTGAAGCTTTATTTTGAGCTATTATACAACTGCCTGTATATACACTACTCAAAAAAACATAAATGAGGATAAAAAATATTTTTGAAATAAAATTAAAATTTTATAGTAGATGCATCTATGAATCTATGTTTGCTTTTTAGTACATGATTTGTTTTTTAGCTTTGTTAAAATTATATCATCTGAATGATTTTGTGTGTGCAGCCCTTGCCAGCTCACCAAAAACTCATTAAGTGGCCCACCAGTTGAAATAATTGCCCACCCTTGGCCTATATCCAGATTAGGGCAGTGCGAAATTTCTCCAGTAGTATCATTTCAATGAGCTCGAAACAGCAAAATAGAAATGAAGCAGAGAGCTTCAAAACAGCCTCAAAATGAAATGAGGCAAGTCGAAACATTTCAAAATTTTTGAAACATTTCGAGTTTTGGAGCTCAAGCTGGGCTTGCCTGCAGGGAAACAGAAACTAAAGTAAGGAGAGGGCAGGGGAAGGGGGGGAAGGAGTGCTCTCATTATTGACTGTGTAGCTGGCCAGTGACTGTCATCCTTTCCTGAGGTCTCTTCCAATCCCAGTTGGCCGGAAGCATTATGGACAGACAGACACACAGACTAAGCCTTTTATTATATTAGAATATTATATTACTTCACAGTCTACATATTGGTGAGTTATCCCAAACAGACTCCACAGAATTACAGCATAGGCATAAATTCTATAAACAACTGAACAGCACGAATTCATTGCTGGAAGATAGCTCCCCTCCTGAGGGTCCAAAGGGGTCCAAGGGTTGAAGAATCAAACCCACTCACACCTGGAATATCTTCTCTGAGTTACTTGCAGAGATGAGAGTCCTTCCCCTGTGAGAGAAACACCTCATGTGAGAGCTTTATGTTAGCGTGTGAGCAAGCTCAGGCTGTCACCCAAAATGTCATCATGGGAATGATTCAGCAAGCCATCATGGGAGAAATTCCCATGGAAACAATCAACCTAATTTGGCCCCATGTAATGAAGGAAGAATTAGCCCTCCAGCCCTGGTGGAGATTAGTTAATGCTTTGTACAATCACCACCAGCAAAGCTTGCAGTTATTCCTTATAACTGTGGCAGGCAAGGAAATTAGAACAATCCACCCAGTAGTCCCATTAGGATTACAAATTGATGATAGCTCAGTAACGTACTCCGGAGATCATAACACTTGGACCTGGCAGAAACATAGTGCGTGGAAAACAATAAATGTAAAAGGGTGTAGGAGAAAAGATAGTTTAGGTTACATCTGTGAAGACCAAGCATTGGAGGAGCATGATGAATGTTTTTTCCCACAACCTGGGAACAAGTCTCACTGTTCCTTCGAAGTTATCCAAGAAAGGGAATCTGCTTTTATTTATGTGGGTAAAGCATGTGTGTGCATGAGAACAAGATGTGATATTGTATTAATTAACAGATATTGGATTCAACCTATGGTGCCTTATATTAATTGCTGTTTCTGTAATGTAACCACTATTGTTGTGATCTTAAGTTTACTGTACCTATATGGACCATACAACATTTGAATGCCTACCCTGAGCTCTACAAAGAGGTGTCCCCCATTTTACTAGGAATGAGTCTCATCGCCATTAAGGAACTATTAACTCATCCCTCTTTACCAGCTGAACTGCAAAGACTCAAAGCTTTGGGAGAGAATGGCAAACTCGAGATTCAACACCACAATCAGGAAATCTCTAAGCTAGCAGCTACAGTTAAAAATGCAGGCCATCACTCCTGGTGGGAGGTTTTGTTCGGGTGGAGCCCCAATGCAACAGGTCTTTTAAATGTCATGCTTCACCCCATTGTAGTAATCATTAGTTTTCAAATTATACTAGTAATTAGTCTCATGCTACTAGTTTGCTGGATCCAGAGACTGATGCGACGATTGCAATGGATAGAAGGCCAGAACCAGTACCATGGAGCAAGAATGTGATGGGGATACTCGCTCAACGCAAGCACCCCATCAACGGGGGGAATTGTTACGTCTCAGCTCTGTATTCTTGGGGAACCCTGGTACAGGATGCAGTCTGTCTGACTCACAAAGGACTCACCCTCCCCTCCTCTACCTAAACGAAACTGATTAAGATGCAGTGAGAGACGCACCTAAGACCCTCACCAGATAAGGGTGACGAGTGAATCAACTGCCCTAGGTCTCATTTACATGAGAGATGGAAAACAGAAAGCCTGAAGCAGAGGCTGCAGTGAATTCTGGGACCAGAGAAGCAGGAGAGCGCTGCATGATGGGGAATCTGTGCTTCCAATGTTAATCAACCCATGTTCACACACACCCAGCTCAGCACACACACACCTCTAAGTTTAATAGGCATCTCAGGCTGTACATTCCCCGGTCCCACTATGGGAGGCCTATTTAAACTTGATTGGCTAAAACTGGGTTGCCAGGTTAGGGAATGCTGAGGCAAGAGACCGAGTCAGAGGGGGTATGGGTAACATTTGGACAATGGTTAAGGGTTCATCACAGCATCCAGCCCGTTGGAGACCTGACCACTAGTGTTGTCATGCTTTTCCCAGGACGACTGCTGGAAGTCCTTCTGCCCAAAGGTTATAAACACTCCAATAATTGCCTTAAGTCTGTTAAAAGACTATAGTAAGATCTGGAAAAGTCATGCTAAGCTGAGGCTTGTTCACAACAAGTAAAAATCCAAAATCCTGATGCTGCAAGCAATCTATTGTTTCTGAAGAAACCATGAGATAGCATCATGTCAATGTTTGTATTCCAAGTACTTACCCCAGCAACTCCTTCCTGACACCCATTCCACATGTTAGCTCCCTTATTAGCCTTGATTTCCATTTCATTCTCTGGCTCCTTGTTCTCTCCACCCAGGCTCCACTCCAGCAGAAGCAGCCATATTAAGGGTACCATTCAGTCCATAACGCTCTCCTCTCTAATGATGGACCACCAGTATTGCATTAATTCATATTCTTTGTTCATCATTGTTTAAACCTGGTTTTGCAACATGTAACATTTCATTTAATTTCTGGTCACAGTAGAGCTACTGCAATGATCAGCTGTCCAACTCATCTTCATTTCATGACTAGGTTTATTTATCTATTATGATGTACAGGGGTTTACTATCCTACTCCATGTGTATTGTTTTATAATTATACCAGAGATATATCATTGGGATAAAAAAGTGGAAAGTCTTACTGCTAAAACTGCATGAAGAAGGCATGCAGACTACTACAGAGGCAGCAATCAAGTTTGAAATATTAATATCTTGGCTGGCTTCATATACCTATGACTAATATGTAGCCAAACTACTGTGTACAAGGCATAATTAAAAAAGGAAAAACATTCTTCAAACCCAGGGATTTTTCCACTAGAAAACAACAAAGAAACGTAAACGTACAAAAATGTTTAAAGATATTCTCCAGATACATAAGAATCCCTATTAGAAGCTATATTTGGTGTGTTTTTAATTTATGTTACAATTAAGTATAAATTTAAATGTATACTTAACAGATCCATTATGATTTTGATGAATGGAAGAAATACATAAAATATATAAGAAATACATTAAAAAGAAATACATTATAAGTCATACATTTAGTCCCCAGTTGGGCTAATACTTGCACACATGCTTAAATTTACTATGGAACTGGTCCCACTGACTTCAGCTGGTATACTCATAGTATTGAATTTAAGCAGATACCTCCAACTGGAAGCACTAATGTGATGTTAGAAGGGGAGGCTGGTATTTTAGCTTTAAAGTTACTGACATACTTTACAGAGTCTACACCAAACATTTTTATATCAAAAAAGGCATTTATTATAACCGGTTTATAAATGTTTATGTCATTGTTAAATAGCTAAGCTCACTGTGACATCAGCAACAGTTTAGTATAAAACAGCTGTTACAAAGCAATATTTTTAGGGCATGCACTGATTATAAAATAGTCCTTCTAGTCACAATAATTTACTTAGCTCTGTGTTCCTGCAAGGTCTAATGCAGTAACACATTGGTTTGTTATTACCAACATCTCTTTTCCAGTATTTGACAATTAAATCACAGTGGGCTCAATTCTATATTTTTTAACCCAAGCAGTTCTCATGGACTTTAACTTTTGGCAGAAAAGAGTGCAAAATTAGGCCCATGATGAAATGAAAGCTCAAGGCAAAAAATTAGGAACATGCTAAATATCCAATACTATATTTACAAGCTGTGCATGGATATCAATTATTTAGAAATAAAAAATCATTTTTAGAACACTGCACACAATTAAACATTAAACAGTTTAGAGATTTTTTTTTACAATTTATGTAATACAGAAAAAAACTGGCAAGAGCTAACATAGCTATTACAGTCTCTTAATCTCCAAAAAGTACAACATATCAAACCTCATAATGTGCTAACCAGAAATACCAAGTACAACCAGAAATCTGTCACAACCTAAACAGAACTGATGGCACTTGATGTATGAGAACAAAATATTTCCACTTCTAGTCAAGGGTGCAAACTTCTTTGGGGGTAAGATGTGGGTTTGAGTGAGTAGTTTTAGAAAAAGTTTGAAAATTTTGGCTAATGCCAATAGCTAACTGCTGGTGTAGATCAGATCTATTGAGCATCAGAGTACAATGCATTAATATAGGTTGCAAGAGTTTTCTTAACAATTTTTTCAACATGAGAGAAATTAATTTAAAATCCTAAAAAGAATGTGCCTAACTGTTAGGTGAGCAACTTTTAATACAAGCAGCTTCCCTTTCAGAAGTGTTGTAAGGTCATTTATATATTTAGCCTCAAATGAAATTAGCAGAATAGTTTCCCTTTTCTTTTAATCTAATAAAATCATAAAAGTCAGTCAAGGAAACTGTATCCTGAATCAATGCAATACAAGTTCAAATGATAATTCTAATAAAAATATGTGGTCCTATTTTTATTATAGTTAGTTAATATTTGTAGCCAGCCTTTTCAATTTGAGAGAGAGAAGTGTTCCTGTATTTTAAGATTGTCTCTTCACATCCATCACATATACAAGTCATCTAGGTACTCTCTTCTATCATGTAATCACCAGATTCTTGGCTCAGCCTTCCATATATTCAGTTTAGATCAATCAGATGTCTAAATACAAGCTTTCACAGATTCACAGAAGTTTAGGGCTGGAAGGGACCTTGTGAGATCATCAGGTCTAGGCCCTCTGCTCCAAGCAGGAGACTGCTGAGGTCAAATAACCCCAGCAAGGTGTGCGTCCAGTCTCCTTTTGAAGATCTCCAGAGTAGCATAGGTAACTCTACACAGCTCTCAGAGGACATTTGAAAATTCAAATCACGTCTATGTATACACTGATTTGGATGCAGAATTAAACACTAACCACACAGAAGTCTGGATAAAATGGATTCAGAAAATTGGGATCTACCTATACCATACTTGCATATTAAAAAAATCAGATACTTAAACATCTAGACTACACTTGAACACCTACCCTATTGCACATATTACTGATTGCAAATGAAGAAACACAGGACAAGTTGTAAAATGATAAGCAAATATATAATCTGCATTTAATCTTAATGACTTCTACATTCTGGAAACTTGAGATATTTTTTAAAGCTCCCAGATCTGTTGAAAATATCCACATGAAAGTTGAGCACATCATGTGATTTTTTTTTAATGAGACTTCGATTAGGATCTGGTCCAACATGGCAGAAATTCTGCTCCTACAATGAGATTTAATTTGGGTCAGCGTCTGATGTACAACAATGAAAGCTGTTTAACATGGACAGCTCAGTTCTACTCCCTGACACTCAAGTACGCACAGCTCTGTGCCTTGTGAAACTACTAGTGCGCTTGTACATGTGCAGTGACAGTTCTGTCAAGATCTTGCCTGTGTGATGTGTTTCCCCACTATCTCAATGGGCAGGATCAAATCTTCAGGGTCAAATGTATCCACACGTAAATATGCATCATGGGATAGAAAGTAATTTTTAATCCATACTGGCCAAGAGAGAACTCAGCTTTTGTGTAGAATCTCATTAGGGTCAGATTGTGTCCCTCTTCTTCAAACTGACTGGTATTTTAAATGTGAGCAGTAATTACAGAATCTGGTGCTAAGGAAATGTCTCTCAAACACAAAAGCAAAAGCAATAATTATAACAGGCAATTAAACTGCCTCCTTAATGGCCAAAACATTATGGGAAGTCATGTTAGACATTTTATATTAAAATACTAACTGAGATTATAATTCTGTATTGTGTAGCACGAAGCAGACTGCTGTACCTGCACACCATGCTATGTAGGATCTGTTACAACCTCCTGGGACACTTTTTCCAGTCCCACTGCTACAGGTTCACCGAGTAAGAAAAAACAAATAGGAATCAAACAGCCTTTATTCACTGTCAGTTAGTTAGTCCAGGGGAAATGTGTCAGGGTACACACAAATCCAAAGCTATCCAAAATGCACACATCTTTATACACATGCTCTTCTTTGAACTATCCAATCGCTGGCTAACACATGGATGCACAGAGCTAGATGGTATCCTTTTCTTTTGCTTATCAATGCATTACCATTTCCATCTATCTTCCACTTTCCTTGACAATCTGTCAACCTCTAAACTACTCTGGCAGCTAGCCTTGATTAAGGAAAACCACGTAACACTTTGACACCTCCCAGTCCTTTCAGAATATTTACCACACTTTGGGTTACCTCCCCAGGATGGAGTTGAGGATTATCAAACAGGTTTGAGACAGCCCACAGACTCAGGCTCTAAGTGGAGGCTGTTGATTATATCAAAAGTTTTACATGTACAATGTATATGACTACACTATAATAATATTATAATTTGCCTTCTGAAGCTTCAAATGGATTATACAAGTCAGACAGAGCAATTTCCAGAATATATTCAGCCACCCACAATGGAGAGCTGAAAACATGCCTTCACTTCTAGCTGCAACCTGTCTCTGGAGGAGGAAAACCATGTGGCTACCTCTGGCACAGCTCCTGCAGAACAGAACCAGGTTGGTACTATTTTTGGAGGAGACAAATAATAGAGGGTATTACAGAGATCTCTCTGTACATGGTATGAAGTCAGGCAGGAAGCCCTATTTAGTCTATTCCAAGGTGGCAAAACAGTGGGGTACTCAATGAAACTAAAAGAAAAAGTTTGATAAAAAATACAAGCTTATAAATCAATGATTAGACTCAGTCCTGAGCCTGAGGTTGTGGATAGCTGCAGTACCCACAAAGGCAGGCTGGGAAGAGAGCACTGACAGGGACACAGTTAGTTTTCACAGCTTTGCAGTCTGGTGTATTGCTAAGATGAGTAACAATGGAAAAGAGGAAAATATGGGGTGAGGGTCTTGGCTCCTCTTGCTTGTCCACACCATCTTTAATACTGCTTTATAGAGAGCTGAAACAGTATTTACAGCTGGCAAGGACTTCATACTACTGTCTCAAAACTTTTTCATCACATAGAGGCGGCCAGCGCAGTCCTTATTTCCTGCCAACTCTCCTTCACACCCACATTAAATCTGATAATCTTGCCTTTAAAGAACATAAAAGAAATCTGTTGAATTTAAAACCATAACACAGTGTCAAAGAGGATGAACATTTCAGAAAAAGACTCAAGCATTTATGTGAATTATAAGAACACCATCCACCGTTTTGCAAAAGAGTGCAAAAATACTTAAGGGACATAAGCCTTCATTGCTTCAGGACACAAGGTAGATGCTAACTACCCAGCAGTAGGAAAAACTTTCCTAAACAGCAGGTAATTGTAATAACTGTTGTTTATACACTATCTTCTGAGGCATCTGAGTAAGGCCACTGTGAAAGAGAAGAGACTAGGCAGAAGGACTGATCCAGTGACAACTGTGATACGTGTCTGTACTGGATCTTTAACATAAACAGCTGCATTGCAGTTTTAAGTACCTGCACTGAAGTAAGTTTGCAATGGATGTATTCCATAGAGGGCCATATAGTCTGCTGCTCACAGCTTATGCTGGTGCTGTAGGGAAGGGAATGAGGACAGTCAGGAATTTAGATTGTCACCATAGATCCCTGAAAGGGATTACCTGATAGCTAGCATTTAGCAGAGCATGTCATGCTGCAGTCAGTCCCCTTACCCCTTGTTGGTGATGGTGAAGAGTGCCAGAGGCAGCGTCTTTGCTGAGGATTTCTGCAAACTGGGTGCATCCTTAGGGAGCTCACAAGTCTCCACTCCCTTTACGCCCTCTTAAGAGTGGAAAAGCAAGTGGAATAGTAGAGGATGTTAACATCGTCCCCACTATATTTCCTTCTCTGGAATCAAAATGTTATTCTGCTTCAGAATTTTGGATGAATGTCTTCACTTTCAAATAGGTTACAAAAGAAGTTACACTATTAACTTCTCATGCTATACTTTAGGTTCTGTGAACATTTATGCTATAAATTAAACTTTCATAATTATTTGTCTCCACGAAAATAAAATGACTCTTCAGTGCACTTCCCTTCCTACTTCTCTTTCTTTTTCTTAGAGGTAAGATAAGCTAGCTAGTTATTATTATGAGTTATAGTTAATACTCATATTTGTATTGTCACAGCACCTAAAGGCCCCAGCAAAGAGTACAGATTGACCTGGTACACAGAGAAGAAAATGCTGATCCCTGGTCCAAAAAGCTTACAAGCAAAGTATAAAATATAAAGCAGTAAAAGGTGACAGAAGGGTAACATAATAAGCAGCAATTTCAACTGAGATTTTTTGGAGGCAGCCATAAAGTATTTAATAGTAACTAGTACCTTATGGTCTGCTTGTTCCAACATCATCGTTACACCAATTAATCACAGCTACATTTCCAAAGGCCTCATACTGTGTATATGCACAGCCCCCTGCCTGCAAACAATCCCTAAATCCCTATGTTTGTACACAGATACCAGGTAGTACCAGAATTCATTATTCTCACAAGCATATGGAAGACCTTTGAATGATTCTTCTTTAGCAGCCACTTGGTTAGTAGTCCCCTAAGGAGGCTAAAAAACAATATGAACTATCCTCTCTACTAAAGATAGATGCTCCAAGTCAGGGCTGATGCACATTTATGAAGCTGCATGTGCTGCTGTTGCCCAAGGCACACCAGTTCAGGGAATAACGAGGACTTTTAGTATAAAGGACAGCTTCCATAAAACCATAAATTCACTATAAGGCTAGTTTACAGGCACTACCAGGGACTATTTGTTGCTATTTGTTTTTTAAAAAACAGCATATGAGAAGTCACTAGGTTTACTTTGTTACTGCTACTTAAATACATGGCATGAAAAGTTAAGTTTGACTGGACACGTCTACACATGCACATTTTACTGCGCAGTAATTCAGTTACTACAGAGTAACCTAAAAATTACTATGCAGTACGAGTGCGTGTCTACACATGCACACCAATACTGCACTGTAACTATGGTGGCTTATGCTGACTTGGGCGTAAATTTGATACCAGCATGATGCAGGCATCAAATTTATGCCCAATTACGCTCAGTAACGCATGTGTAGATGCCTTGGGTGCGCAGTAACACTGTGTGTGGACTGACTTGGGACTAATTTTAGTCATTTATTACATTTATTACAGCAGTGCTGTGGTTTTATCTTAGTTCTTTCCTCTCCAAGTAATAGTAGTCTAACAATTTTACATTCCTTAGCAAACAGTTCTGGAACTTGGTTGCTTCTGTCCTCTCACTTCCAATCTGTTGTTACTTTGGCTAGAGCATGCTCAATTCTGGAATTTCTTTTGTCCATAGGGAGTTTCCAGATAGGTTTGATTTTGTAGCTGGCAAGAAACATCTTCCAAACATTTTTAAGTGTCAAATTTTCCCAGAGAGCAAATTGTAGCAACAGTAATGAGAAAGGGACTATGCGGTTAAGAATATCTTTCTACTCAAAACATAATTTAGTTCCCAGTTTTAATTATCTCCTCACCTTTGTCGTCTTCATGCCAACTCCATAGAGAGAGTACTGTGATCAGACTGACTTCCTTCACTGTAAAACAACAGCACTCAACCTTTTTCCTTGGCAGGTTGGATGGGCGGTTCCTGATCCATCCATGGGCCAGATGTTGCTGGTGGCCCAAATTTGGTGCCTGAGGCAGCAGCAGGCTGGGGGCCCAGCCCAGATTCAGTTGGGTGCTGGTGAGGGGGTGTGCCACGGCCCCGATCTGCCTATGCTGGGTGAGGGGGCATGGGAATTTGACCCTGGAGGAGGGTGGTCACTGCTACCCTGTTGTCAAATTTCCCACCTGCGGGGAGCCCCATGGACCAGATGCAACGGTTCTGTAGGCCACATTCAGTCCACAGGCTGGAGGTTGAGCACCCATGCTCTAAGATGCCCCTTTTCTCCCTATTCCTATTTCTCCACTTTTAATCATTCTCAAGTTTGGAATCCTGTACTATTGTTTGCAGCATGCAATTCTTTTAACACTTTTTTCCATTAAACCTGTGCTAACTGTAAATTCTCTGGGGCAGGAATCCTGCCCTTCTTATCTTTGAAAAATTATAGAAGAGTTTAATAATAACAGAACTAAACTCAGAGATCACTTGACAGAAGCAACACATTGCTTAGCTTTTTCTTTTTTGTAAATGTGTATTTTCCCTATAATGTAGGAGGTCTAACCGGTGCTAATTAAGCACTTTAAGATCCTTGGAGAAGAGGTGTTACAGAGTAAGCACTACCAATATCTGAACAAAAGGGAAAATACAGAGCTATATGATACACGGTGCTGCCAAATAAAGGGTAGAAAAGCTTTATCACAAAACCCAAGTAATTGAAAGTGAAGGCAAAAATCTGTTTTAATGCACAGCATAGGGTCAGCTGACATCTCTGAAAACTTCATAATCTTAATGTATTTTCTGCATTAGCGAGACCCAGAGGTTTCTCGCATTAACTACAGAGATTTACCTTAGGCTCTGAATCTATTTACTGTTGCAAGGTTGATTAAACCTCTCTCTCTCTGGTGTTATTTTTGCTGTGTTTGTATATACTGACCCCGTTTTTTTAGTTTAGCCAAGCTAGACTAATCTGAGGACTTGAGTGAGAATGAGAAGAGCAAAAATTGGGTTTTATCTTATGCTTCAGTTGTTAGGGCAGCCTCTAGAGAACTATGGAAATGGCTATAAAGTATAGTGATTCTTAGGCTGCTGCAAGGTTTGCTGGCCCCTGGCAGAGAATTGAACTAGCCTTCTTTCTGATAGGTAGCACAAGGGAAGACGAATTTGCTCTGATAAACCACTTGTTCTTCCTCTAAGCCCAAAGCAGATGTTCAGGGGAAAAGATTTGGCCTGGACACTTGTTGTCTTATCAAATAATTACAGTAGTTGGTTAATCAACTATGGAGCATTCACTTGCAGAAATATACTGAAATAAAGGGCTCCATAAGTGGCCTAAAGTGTAAACTGGTCTCCTAATTCATACACCTTTGCTAACCCAATCCTGCAACTTTAAGTGAGCTTTAAATTACACAGTAGATGAAAGGAAATGCTGGTTAATCTTTTTAGTGGTTGATCTTCCTTTTGCAATTTGGAGATGATGCTTGCAAAAGCAAAAACTTAATTTCAAATATATCAGCACAAAGTTTTGAATAATGAAAAAATCTAAAACAATTCAACCTGCAAATTTCAGATTCGGGTAACACTGAGACAAAAAGAACACATCTCCTGTTAACTTTTTCTTATTGCTTCACCTACACATCATCCAGTAATTAAGATAGAAACATCAATTCTTAGTTCTCCAATATGGCACAATCTATATAATCTTGGTAGAGCAGCATGATAAATTAGCAAAAGCTAGGGCCTGAACCTGCAACTTGTAATTATACCTCATCCCATATAAGTTTTTTGTGCATGCTACCTGCACAATCAGATACAAAAGCCAGTTATATCCCTGCTTAAGATAACCCTGTGTGAGGCAAGGATTTCTTTTGATGATACCTTTTATTGGACTTTCTTCAAGTCAGAGCCTGAGGACAAATGTCTTTGCTCAGACCTGAAGAAGAATGTCTTACTTTTGAAAGCTTGTCATTTGAAAGCTATGTGGTTGGACCAATAAATGATATCACCCAAATAAATCTTTGTCTCACATAATTCCTGGACCATTACAGCTACATCACTCTAATACAGCCATAAGCTAACCATAACACCCCTATCCTATAAACACTGGACATGGGCAGCAACAACGCAAAGCCTTTTACAGTATATATTGTGTTATTCTAGTTAATGTTTCTGCAACTAACATTTCCAGTAATATTTAACTACTTTCTTTCCAGTCTCTTGAAAATAGAAAATTCAAATATATTTTCCTGCTGCTTTTGTCTTTTGTCCGCAGTAGAAAATATGATTTTACCCTTGGTTCTCATGGAACTGAAATTAAGGTGGCTATTTTTCTTTATCCCCATATATTAATATTTTGTTAAGGTTTACATTCCATTCCTATGGGGATAATTAACAGCTACTCCTCATTTTTGTCTTTACCATGAATGGGATTTATTGGCACGCAACAAGGGAAAACAGACCCTTTAGCACTACGGCACAACAATAATTGAAAACAAATATTTATCTCTCAGTAACATTGCTTTCTATAAAAAGACATACTTTAGTTACTGGAAAAATGTCTTATGGCTTGTAGGGGCTTGTATAATTTATGTATTTTATATATTTGTCTATATATGAAGAATTTAAATTACCATTTTTCCCTGTACAAAAAGGATTGCATCTCATAAATGAAAAAAAGTAAGTAGGGCTATGTCTACGAAGCATGATTATAGTAAAAACACTGAGTACCACTCTGCATGAAAAAGTAACATGCTTATGCTTGTTTGTAAAAAGAACCAGAAGTAAGTAAATTCTGGTTTTGGAAAGCACCAAAACCATTTTAGCCTGTAAATTGCTTTTGATTCAAAATATGTTAGGAAGTAAGCAGTCCTTATTAAACAGCAGTAATGTGACAAGAACCCATGTTCAGGCACTGACTGCCTTTATCTGAGTGCTATCTGCACCACAAGAATTTAACATATCTTCCCCACTAATACTTCTTGAAGTGATTTTATATTACATAATTCAATACTATAAGTCCATCACTAGATTTTCCTCAACACACACACACACACACACAGACACACACACACACACACACAAAGAACTTACAAAAGTCCATTTCTTCAATAAACAAGTAGTAATTGCATTGATGTAATTGTTCCTCGATTATTATTATTATTATTATTATTATTAAAGAACTGTTTGGCACACCTCCAGCACACAAAAAGATGGTATTTCTTTCTTCTGAGAAGCTGAAATTGTCAAAACAGCAGCTAGATGATAACGTGATATAAATTCCAATACAAAATACATCCATCCTGAGGAACTGACTGACAAATCTTCTCAATTTTCCATTTACATTGCAGTGGTCATGGGGTCCCCATCAATAAGTAGAAGGTCAGTGCAACGATAAGAAGCAAGCAGAAGGGGGAAGAGAAGGTTTGATAGGCAGCTGATGGCATAAAAATGTCTTCATACTTGTAAATACTGACAGCACGCTCTGATACAGGCGGTGAGTCTATGTCATGTCGAGTTATAGAACCTTTATAGGCAAAGAACAGAAAATGGCATTTGTATTAAACCATTTTTTATCTCATTTTCCTTTTTACTTCCTAGATAGCCCCTTCTCCTATTACTGCTATTTACTATATCAAAAGGCAGGTTTTCCTAACTTTTGAAAAGGAATTTCCAACCAGCAAGGGTATCTTATAAAAACAGATGAACATGAAACATCATATACATAGTAAAAGGGGGTATTTTTTTGGTGCCAGAAAACATTGAAGAAAATACCTGAAACTTGAACAAACTAACAATGTCCTTCGAGATCATCACAAACTGGTAGCTTTGAAGCATTCTTAATAATATTGGGTGAGGGAGTAGAGATAATCCAAAAAATATCCAAGACAAAGCATCTCTGAATGTTGGCTCTTTGTCTCTAAACAATTCTCCTTCATTTTTTCTATCCAAAAACAACCCTCCCATTGCCAAAACATTCAGCATACTCAATTCTGATAGAAAGGTGGAGTTAGAAAAAGCTGGGTTTCAGGACAGAATAACACTTTTGAAGGACATTTATTATAATGGATATATCAGGTATGGGATCCTGGTTTTCTCAGATAACCCCCTCTCCCCGCAATTTGTGGATTAAAAAAGTAACCCAAAATCCACATTTTTCTGTGATTAAAATCTAATATCACTAATATATATCTATATGTTAGTGGTGTTTCATTGTGATTATGCAAAAAATTTGGAGTTTGGGTTACTTCTTTTAATCCAAAAACATTTTTTTTAACCAGAGAAAACCAGGATCCCAGGCTAAGCTGCACACAGGGTGTCCCCTAAACCATGGTTATCAACTGTACTTAGCTGTTAGTTCTGTGACACGGAGCCAAGTTTTCCGATAAGCAAATCTGAACATGCCAGGCACACAAGACCCAGAATATTGTGACAATGTACCAGTATAGTAGAACACAAGAGTGAAAGTGATAAAACTTGTCTATGACAAATGTTCAAACTAAAGCAAAACCCAAATAAAGAGCATAAATATGGTAAGTTCATTAGATTTTAAAGTAGTGTAAGAGTGATGTTGTAGCCATGATTTTAAAGCATCTTTCTACCTCTATAATATTAACATCTCAGCATCAGGACAATAATTGTTATGAGTATTAGCCTGACAGTGTTCCTTACATACTTGCATTAAAAAACATTGCTATTGGAAAAAAAACTGCATGCCTTCTGAAAACCATTTTAATGTATTATTCAGTGAAGGATTGAAATATGTAGCCATAATGACAAAACACCAACCTACCCTGAATTGCTGGACCCCAGGCAAACAAATAGTACCAACTCAAATGAAGATCTACAATTGTTTCATCTCTGGGAACATACAGAGGTCGTTTGAATCGACATGTCACACGGTTATTTTCAAAAACCCCTTCTTCATCTCTAGCAGGATTTCTCTGGATTTCTTTAGCCCACTGACCAACATTATAGAAATGCTGTATTCGGACCCTTCCATTGTCATCATGAACACAAGCCATGACATCATCTCCACCCTACATGGGAAAAAAATATTTTTTAGAAAAAAAGCTCAACAAAAATGCCATAAAATTCCTCTTAATCATAAAAGTATGTGCATACTTTTCATTATAAAAGCGTAGTGATACTGAGCTCTTTTTCTTAATTATATGTATAGACCTTCCCGCAGCTATCTCCTCCTGCAGATTTTGCAGCTCAGAGCAAACAGTAATATTTACTTTTTCTGGCTCTTCACATGTATATATCCCCCTTTTTTAATTGTCCCCAAGAGTCAACTTACCAGATATGAATATTAAATTCTAAGAAGGTAGCACCATTGCCATAATTAAGTTTAACTAAAAAAGGAAAGCCTTTTTAAATAATATATGAAGTTGTCAGATACTGTTCCACCACCAAAAGTACTAGTAAATAAGAACCACTAGTGTATACAAAACTCACTGCACCAAATTGTATATTATTTACTCAGATGTAGGAAATAACATACCAAGCTTAAAGTGATAATCACAAACTGCAAGGAATCTGCTTTGAATCAGTAATGTTTTTCCAAATGTATTTCCATATTATATACCACCCATGAGTAAACTAGAAATACAGTTTACAAATACAATAGAATACTATAAACAATGGACTACCATCACTGGAATACTATAAAATACCAGTGGCAAAGAAAGCAACCAATGGCTAGATTGCTTCTGTACATACTGTTAGGCAGTCCCACAGAACGGCAACTAGGGAAAAAACAACTGGACGGAAAAATGATAATTGTTATGACAATTACCCTTTTGAGCTATTCACAGGAGTACTGTATTTCTAAGTAGGGCTGTGCGAAACTTCAGTCGCTGATTCAGTTCGGCAGAGATTTGGCCCAGTTCGGCGGCCAAATCTCTAAATCCAAATCAAATCAGAAGACTCATCAATCTCTCCGAATCGAATCAGAAGCCTCCAATTCGATTCAGAGAGATTCAGAGAGATTTGATGATTCGGACATAGACATAGCTTTATATGTTTTTTCTACATACCTCAAGGTACCAGGCAGCTCGTGAACACTGAGATGGAGAGACAGATGGAGCAACCCAGTGGATCGTTAGGGGGACCCCCAGTGAGCTCGGCAGTGGCCCTGGAAGTGGATTGGAAGTACTTCTGGTCCACTTCCGGGTAGACTGTGGAGTGCACGGGGGCTCCCCCCATCCCCCGCCTCAGTGACTGCAGCCTCCTGGGCCTGGAGGGGCCCCCAGGGCCCCCCTGCAGCTGATCGCCGAGCGGGGGGGGAGGGTCCCCGCGCGCTCAGCAGCAGACCTGGAAGTGGAGCAGAAGTACTTCCAGTTCACTTCCGGGTCTGCCACCAAGCATGCAGGGCCTCCCCCCCACGCTTCTGTGGAATACTTCATCTATCCCACCATCTCAGCGTTCACAAGCCACGCCTGGTACCTCGAGGTATGTAGAAAAAATATATAAAGCTGTGTCTATGGCTGAATTGCTGATTCTCTGAATCAGAATCGAATCTTCAGATTCGGATTCAGCCGAATTGAATTGGGACAGTGATCCAAATCAATGAATCAAATCACTATCCCCTGAATCATGCCAAATCTAAATCAAATATGGCCCGCTTCACACAGCCCTATTTCTAAGACAATTATTCAATACCATTGTCAATGCAGCAAACGTAGAATCACGGCATGTTACTTTCAACATAATTTCTCATCAGATGTCATAGCAAAGAATGAAGTTGATATTCTGTAATTTGTTATGAAATTAATGTTATTGAAGAAATAGCAGTACTGTGGCAGCACTCCCCCATCATGCAGTACTGGAAGAAGTAGCTACCATGGCCTGCAGGCCACATGCTAGAACCACTTCCACATAATGTCATTTGTATATCACAGAAAAGGTGGAAAGCATGCTGCTGTGTTGTTCAGAAAGTCTTTTGTCTATTGTATGTGTGTTACAGAAGATTCTTAACTGAGATTTTCTCACCTAATCTTGGAAGCACAAACTACTTTTTGGAAACAAAGTGGATATGGACAAAAAGGGCCTGGGAAAAAAGATTTTGTACCCCGTGACTAACTTTATGTGCAGATTCTAACAAAATGTGTGTAAAATAGGAAACCTGGGTGGCAACTGGGGAAGACATACATTTGTAGAGCATCAGAACTCAGGAATATTGTAGGACAGGCCACAATGGCTAGAGTTACATTAAAACAGCTTCCTTTCTAAAACCCCATGTTAAATCATTGACAATTTTTTCCACTTCAAACTTAAAATGTATGTTTAAACAAAGTCTCTTTATCTTTAAGAACAAAGATATTTTTAAAAACTAAAACATTCCACCTATTTTGAAACCACGAAACTTTTTCATGAAATTGTACAGATTGACAATATTCCATTAAAAATACGGAATATGTCAAGATGACCTGTTTTGACATTTTCGGAATCCAATGTTTCAATTTCTTTTGTTTGAAAACAATTCTTTTTCATAACTACTTTATGTAAAATATTAAAAGGGTCAATATCAAAACAAAACATTTCAAAATATATTGAAACAAAATGCTTCAGTCGATGTAAAACTCATTAAAATAGTACCCTAAAAGATTCAAAATATTGACTTTTTGTACAGATTCAGGACAAGCTGTTTGAGGATTATTTTCCTTTTCTAAATATAATCTTTTGTGGGACAGAAAAATAAGCTTCTTGAACAGCTCTATTAAAACATTGGTTTTCAACTTTTCTGTAGCTACAGCTGCTCTGTAGATCCCTGTTTCTGGTGTGTTGGTTGTAGCCATGTTGGTCCAAGGACCTAGGCAGGCAAGGTCAGGCAAGGTTCTTTGGGTAAATGTGATATCTTTTATTAAACCAACTAAATAACCAACTAAATATTTAGTTGGTCTAATAAAAGATATCATATTTACCCAAAGAACCTTGTCTGCCTGTAGATCCCTAACACTCACATCAATCTACTCACTTCAACCAGTTGTGGATGCTAGAATTATGCTTCCCAAGTCATTTTTGGTATATACTCCTCTCAACCATATCCCACACTGAATTTAAACTTCTTGTCTTTTTTTTGTAGAGTCCTTCAAGAGTCTGCTTTGGCTTATATTGGCTTCTTTTTCAGGTCTTTTGTTTTTCAAGTCTTCCCAGTCCCACCACACCACCAGTGCATCTAGGTACAAGACATTCATTTCCTTCACACATACCCATCTCCGTCCAGTCAACAGTAGTGCCCTTACCCATGGAATTACTTTAATCTCAGTTCACCTTGAACAATCACTTTCTTCCCATTCAAATCCTTCCTAAAAACTCACTTTGAGGATGATACTGTGGCAGGGCACTTTGATGCCTGCCACTTTAAGGGCCTGAGCCAAGCTGCCAGCAGGTGCCTGATTGCGGCAGCCATTTTAAATCCCTGGCTGCCTTTATAACTGCATCAGTTCCCTGCTGGCAGAGGAGATAGCAACACTGCCTGGCATCATCCTGGAGGTGAGAGAGGAGCTGTAGGGGATGGTTAGGAGGCGCCTGGGCCTGGGCATGACCTAAAACTGCATCCTGCTGGGAGTGGGTGGCCTGGTGGGGCGCTCAGTGTCAAAGGAGCCCCCAGGAAATGCCAGGCCAGTGATCACCCCAGTGAAAGGTGAGTAGGGGTGCCTTAACCCCAGCCCTCACCTTCTGGTGGGTAGGAAGCAACACCAGCTGCCAAGCACAATGACCTGCTGCTCCACGGGGGGAGTGAGAGTCCCGTGAGACCCTGGAGCACCAGTCATGGTGTGTGCGAGGGAAATTACACCATGGGAGGAGTAGAAGCCACGTAAGCTTTGGGAAGCGCCTGACCAGTTGGGGAGAGACCCCACAGGGCCAGACACGCTCCCTGGAGCACCTGAGCCAGGAATGGGGAACCCTGCTCCAGAATATGCAGGCAAGAGGTGAAGACCCTGCTGAGGGACTCGACTGGTCAATGCTGGGGCCAGGACCTGAGGGTCCAAAGGGCCAGGGGCCCACCATGAGGGACACCCACGATGAGCGAGGGAGCTCGGGGTCCTGACTGGGCCTGAGACGGGGCCAGGGCTTACGGAAGCCAAAGGTCCCCATGGTTGGGGTCCACAGCTAATGGGCGAAGGCGGAGGTCCAACTAACTGCCTGAGATGTCATCTGCGAGGCTTGGGCCGCAGTGTAGGGGAGGTATAGAGCCACAGATGCCCCCAAATATTGAGGTGAAATAATGGGCAGCTTCCTGCCTTATTTAACAACTTTATTAAATAACAACAAGGCATGGCAGGAGAGAGAGGTGGGCAGCATGCCCAGAGGCAGGTAGGGAGCTAGTTGTGGCTAGCGGGGATGCCCACCTCACCACAGATACCCACAGGAATCAGTTTAAACCAACAATTATAAAGGTGAAGAAACAATGTTGGATTAATTATCTTTGCTTTAAGAGCTCTCATCTTACATAGTGGGCATGTCTACACATCACCATACAGTGACATTGTTACTGCGCCGTGTTTTAGTACTTGCTATGTGGAAGTGCTAAAACATGACGCAGTAACCGCCTGTACTGCAGCATACAGGAAGCGCATACTTAAATTCACCAGCTATGTCACCGTAGAAGCATGCTATAGCTGGGGACTGCGCTATGGCAATGTAGCTGGCAATAGTGTGTAGACACACATGATTGCTACATCACCACAGTGTGCCATATGGTGACCTAGCGCATCGTTATGTCTCCAGAGGGAAGCGTGTAGACATGCCTTCTATGTAATTAACTGCGTTGTTGATTGCCAACTCTTTGAGACGAGGACTCTTCCTTTCTTTTTTGAGCATGAACTTGAGTGCCATGTACCTTTTTAGTGGTAAAGGGGGCCAGGACTCTGTCACCGTGTTCAATATCGGCATCGGGTCCTAAATTTAAAAGAAGCGTGGACCTACATCTAGAGAAAAGGATGCTAAAACTTAGGAAGACCTACAGCCCAAAAACAGGACAATTATAACACAATTTGGACAAGGAAGAATACTAAAGGCTGCACATGGAATTGAGAAATAATCCATCCAGGGACCAATCTCTTTTCTTTCTTAAATCTACCTGGCTGTACAAGCCCTAAGCAGGGACTTGATTGTACTGAAGCAGAAATCTGATGAAAGTGTACTTTAACCTCAACAGAGATCACAGCGGTTTACAGTAACAAGTATTAACAGACTCTAGGTGATGACTAAAACAGCCTGAAAATTAATGGGAAAGGAAAAATGTGAAATCAATAAAGATGAAGAACACTAAAGACTGAAATGGCATCTTAGCTTAAGTGCATGTCCTATGTTTAACTCTTATACACAGTAACTGGAAACCAATAATTCACTTCAAAGTTTGTATGGTCTGGAGGTGTCACCTACTAGGTATATGTTTGAACATTAATTGTCTATAACCTGAAACCTGATAGAAACAGCACTTCTGAAAATCCCATTAGAAGCCTATCTGAATCTTTAGGAACTAAATAACTTCAAAATGTGACACTAGGTGTAGGACTGTTCCTGCAGGTCCCTTCCTATCCTATTTTGATGACTCCCTCTACAATAGTAGTATATTTATTGATGACATAGTCCTGATTATAAGATTGGGATGGAAAAGCATATCTTCTCAACATTTCTTACTGCTCCTTGTTTAGGGTCTGATTCAATGGGAAACTTTCAATTGACTTCAATGGGCTTTGAATCAGAACCTGTAAATATTATAATACTCTTCATCTTACAGAGTCCACTTATTACTTTATATTTACTGTAGATACGTTCTTGCCCCCTGACATGAAATGTATTACAGAACAGTGCATTTTTTTCTGTCTTTGTTGTGTGTTTCAGTCAATAACCATTTATAGATAACAGTATAAACTGTCCTGAGCTGAAATATGTTTCCCAAACACAACTTTATGTAAAACGCAGTTCTTGTAAAGACTGTAATGCCGCTTGCTCCTTAAAATCTTAATAAAAAAAATAAAGCTTCTAAAATAGCAAAATAGCAGAAATAAAAATAAATATGTGTTCAGTTTTGGGCTCCACAATTCAAAAAGGATGTGGAGAAGCTTGAGAGAGTCGAGAGAAGAGCCACGCGCATGATCAGAGGTCAGGGAAGCAGACCCTACGATGACAGGCTGAGAGCCCTGGGGCTCTTTAGCCTGAAAAAGCGCAGGCTCAGGGGTGATCTGATGGCCACCTACAAGTTTATCAGGGGTGACCACCAGCATCTGGGGGAACGTTTGTTCACCAGAGCGCCCCAAGGGATGACAAGGTCGAATGGTCACAAACTACTTCAAGACCGTTTTAGGCGGGACATAAGGAAGAACTTCTTTACTGTCCGAGCCCCCAAGGTCTGGAATAGCCTGCCACCGGAGGTGGTTCAAGCGCCTACATTGAACACCTTCAAGATGAAACTGGATGCTTATCTTGCTGGGATCCTATGACCCCAGCTGACTTCCTGCCCTTTGGGCAGGGGGCTGGACTCGATCTTCCGAGGTCCCTTCCAGCCCTAATGTCTATGAAATCTATGAAATAACACCAATTAAAAAAAATAAAAACATGAAAAAAACTAAACAAGAAGCTTAGCAGAGAACATGCATTTAAAATAATAACAATCGTTTTTTAGGACCTGCACCTGGCTCTTCTGGGATATGGAAGAACTCAAAGAGGGCACTCACTTCATAAACTAATTAGGTAGTCTAAATTTATAGCATGGAATATTAATTGAATTATGAATAAAACCTTAGGACTATTCTAATTTCTGTTTCAGTCTTTGCTCCAGTAAAACTGACACTAATAGTACAAGTGGTACAATATGAAATAACATATTCTTAAATGTTTTTTAAAATCAAATGTAAAGAAATTATTACAAGTCAAGCATTCAACAACAAAAACAAAAGATTACTGTAATATCTTATAAGAAAAGTAGGTGACAATGGTCCAGTGGAATCGGTAGGCCTATCGTCTTTTCTCTGATCTGCTGCTGATTTGTTTCTCTGCTTTCAACAAGTTGTTTTATCTCTGTATGCCTATACTTCTTCTTTTTATATCAGATGCATATTGTGCATATTTCTTACATGTAAATGCTTATATAATTTGGTGTCACGAATCAATATTAAGCTTTGTGAGTCAGTCTTACCATTTTCTTGTCTGAGGAAAATCCCACTGCCACCCAGCCATCAGTATCGGCGCTCAGCTCAAACTCTACATCAGCTCCTATCCTACGATAACTTAGAAAATAGTCACAAGTCTCCGCATTACAGCCAGGTTTACCGTACCTAAATTAAATAGGAAAACAAAATGTACATCTCTTTTTGTATTCAAACTACAAACAATTTATTGCTTATCTACAATTCCTTACAAAAAACTAGAAGAAGGATTTTTTTTTTTGGTCATTGATTATATTTAAATTTTCCACAGTTCTTGGTAGAGAAACAAAATAAACCAAAATTTTTATATTTTATTTCTGTATGTGCCATTAATTACAGTATTAGCAATAATTATCCCTATACAGTCAGACTGTAAAGTGTTAATTCATAATGGTGAGTAGCTAAATCACAGCAGTCATCCACTGACCCACTGAGACTATTTTTGTAAGTGGTTACAAATAAGAGAAGTGTTAAATAGGGCACATTTACTAGTATGTCTAGGGTAGGCAAGCAATGTTGGACATAAATTTCTCCACATTTTTACTTTAGACTAACCTGAAGCATCCTTTAGTTTTTCCACAATCATCCACTCTAATTTTTGCAAATGGATCCACAGGAGGAGCGGTAGGAAAAGGGTAACCTGCATAATCAAAATAAATCATGACTGAATGATGAATACAGTATATCATATTTAAATCCTGCTGTTGTTATTACCTAGCTACATCACCATGCTGCCTTCAGGCCAAGATCAAAGCTGCATCCTGCTAAACATCACATATGCTAGACACACTTTGCTAGGGACAGTTCCTGCCTTGAAAAGTTTACAGATAAGCCAGCAGAGAGAGAGAACAGAAAGCATCACTGGATTGGATTATTGTATTTGCTCAATCTATTACAACAAACCCATGCACTGATACAGACTGGGGACTGACTGACTAAGCAGCAGCTCTGCAAAAAAGGCCCTGGGGGTTGCAGTAAACAAGCTGAATATGAGCCAACAATGTGCCCCTGTTGCCAAGAAGGCTAACAGCATACAGGGCTGGGCTAATAGAATTTTTGCCAGCAGATCAGGGGAAGTGATTATTCTCCTGGTGAAGCAGCATCTGGAGTACTGTGTCCAGTTTGAGGCCCCCACTACTGAAAGGATGTGGACACCTTGGAGAGAGTCCAGTGGAGGGCAACAATAATGGTTAGAGGGCTGGGAAACATGACTTCTGAGGAGAAGCTGAGGGAACTGGCTTATTTAGTATGGAGAAAAGAAGACTGGGGGGATTTAATAACAGCCTTTCAACTACCTGAAGGGTGGTTACAAAGAAGATAGAGCTAGACTGTTTTCAGTGCTGAAAGAACATAGACCAATGGTCTCAAGTTGCAGCAAGGGAAGTTTATGTTACAAATTAAGAAAAACTCTCTCAGGAGGAGAGCAGTAAAACACTGGAACAGGTTACTCTAAGAGGTGGTGGAGCCTCCATTGTTGGAGGTTTTTAAGACCTGGCTAGACTAAGCCTTGACTGGGATGATCTAGTTGGGGATGGTCCTGCTTTGAGTAGGGAGTTGGACTAGGTGACCTCCTGAGGTCCCTTCCAACCCTCATTTCTGAAGACTCTATGATTATGAGGGAAAGGCAGAGCTTGGGTCCACTCCATCTGATGCTTTGGTGGTAGAAGATGTTTCACCAGCAGCCTAAGTCATGCTGCAGTAGCACAGCTTTAAACTTACCCCAGGGCAGGGGTCCCCCAGCCCCACACCATCAGTTCTGTCCTAGTTCCTCCAAAGTGAGCTCTGGGTACAGTACAGAACCTCCAGTATAAATATAGAAAAGAGAATCTTCAAAAGCTTCCAAGATGGCTGACGCCTAAAACCAATACACCCTAAAAATCTGAAAATCTTACTCGGAGAGAAAAAGTGATTTACCTTCCTTCACCCAAGTAATCTTTGGAAGAGCAAAGAACTGAGTATATGTTTCCTGTACCTTTGTCCACAAATGAATGTATAATGTTTATAACCATTTCAGGTCATCAATTCAGACACGTACACAGATATATTAAAGCCTATTTTAATAAATTCTACTTTAAGAGAGAGAATTAAAGTCCTATTGGATAAAAAGGTAAAGTCAGTGTTACAGATAAAAAACAAACCACCAACATTTAGCAAAAGTTAAAGATGGAAATCCCAACACAAAAAAGGCAGATAAGAAAAAAGTTCAGACTCCAAAATCAATGTTCCCTTGTCCACGTTATAACAAGGCCCTTTGCAGAACAGCAGACTTAGCGCTATTGGTAGATCTTTATATTTTGCAATTCCTGGCATTTGGGGGAGGAGGGGAGTGTTTGTGACCCCAGTGTCAAACACCTAGTTGAATTAAATTTCCTGATAAACATAGAACTAGTACTAGTACTTGAAAGTTGTGCAACTGTGTTTTCACTTTTAGGGTGCACAACTGAATAGAAACACAAGTCATTGCTAGGACAGCACTCCATACTGTTGCAACTAGTAACAGAATTGACCACTTGTGTTGCAAAAAAATTGTTAACCACTTATAATCATGTTATCTAACTCCTCCTTTTTATCCAGCAACCTTTTTTCAATAAGATCTAGCCCCATGTAGAATGTAGAGCTTTAGTATTTAGTAACATTTTAACTTGTTTTAAAACAAGCCAAGATTTACCTAATGTATATGTGTTAATCAACGAAACATCAACAACTTGTTCCCCCCTCAACCACTCCTAGTTTTGTTACCAATCAACAGCCACATGGAGCAGAATACTCTAAAGGAAATCTAAAGTCTACCGTGAGGTGCATCAATCCCTGTAGGCAACCAATGGAACACGTCTCCTGCCCCCAAAAAGACGGCAGATCCGCCTTGACTTCAGGGTCCAAGTGCCAACATATATTAGGCTCACGTGGCCTGAAAGTGGACGGTAAGCGGCTAAGCAGATGGGACTTCCATCTGCTATGGGAGGGAGAGGGTTTTAGCCCCTGCAGAGTCCTGCACAGGGCCTTCCTTCGCTTCCAGCATGATCTCTGGACCAAATCTCCACTTCCTGCTCCAAAGAATGGAGGCACCAGACATGACTACCCAGACCAGAAGGGGAAGTGGGGCTTTCAGGTGAACATCAGACAGCCAGTTGAATCTAGGATTGTCCCAGGTTTTGACTTCCCTCAAACCAGGCCAGGCACAATCACTTACAGAGGTAACCAGTGACCTGGTAGTAGCCTTGAGTGTTATTGTCATCCTTCACAGGTCCACAAAGAGGAGGCAATGCCCACATACCTCTGGAGTACCCCCATGTACCTCTGGAATGCCCCCAAGATTTCTCCTGGGGTAACCAGGCTGTCTGGTTAGAATGATTCTGGGTGGGAGCCCAGAAGACACTCAACAAAGTAGCAAAGCCAGGACGTACAGCTTTGCCGGGGCACAAAGGCTGCTGCTCGGTGCAAGAGACCTACCCGAAAGCTTGGGAAAGACGAATTGGGGCAAACTCCCTGCAGCCTCCCAGCTGTGTGTGCACTCCTCTTGCTCCCCATACATCACAGCGGGGACCCAGGCATCTCTCACCCCACACTGGCCAAGGGCGCAACAGTGCCCGTGTCTGACTGCCATGGGGGGGGGGGGAATGGGAAAGCATCTCAGAAGCATCTCCCTTGGGGGGCTTGTTGGGGAAGGATCTCCTATTGGGGGTGGGGAGTGGGAAAGGATCTTGCAAGGATCTCTCATGGGGGGAGGGTTGGGGAAGGAGCTCCCATGGCTCTCTCATGGGGGGAGGGTTGGG